CGATCCTCCGCTCGAGGGAGAGCGAGAAGTGCACGGACAGCGGGAAGAGAGAAGAGAATAAAGATTGTTTATATTTTAAAAATATATAAAATAATATGTACTAACTGTAAACTTAATGAATGCAACTGTATAATACCTAACTGTACATCTAAATCTTTACTCTAGTGGAGCGAGTAAACCTGTTAAATGAAAATAATAACTACGATAATAACATTAACATCTACCATAACTAAATACATTTAAGTTATTCAAACAACAAACTCTAAAAAAAAAAAAACAAAAACACGAAAAACTTGGACTGATTTTATAAATATTTTTTAATCATAACGAAAGGAAACTGAAAAAAAATTACAAAAATGCGAAACAAAATAACGGAATACACAAATATTTTTATTATGCCCCCCCTTTATATTTCTTAAAAACGAAAGTCTAAACTGTAAGATTTTTATCATTTTCACCCAAAAGAAAAACAAAAAAAATTGTTCGCAAACAAAATCCAACATCCCTTGGAATTGGCAATGTTTTTAGGCATTTTTTTTTCAAAACAATTTTATATGAAATTAAAGTGATTGGAGTTTTACTCAAAAACCAAAAGGCATCAAAAGGTATTAAGTCGAAAATAAATAAAACAAAATTTACCCTGGAAAATAGTTTTCGATCACTTTGATAGCTCTCCCACAGACACACACACACACGCGTCTAATAAACACATAAACCAAAAGACTTCAATATTTATTTATAAAATTTACATTGGTAATTCAAAATTTGTGTGAGTGAGTGACTACAGCAAATTTGGCAAAATCAAAATTTATTTAATGAAAAACCCCAAAAAAAGTGCAAATTTTTTATACTTTGGCAATTATAAACGAAATTATATGCAATTTTGGTTCCAAACTCTTTTGCTTTTCGCTATGAAGTGTACATTTTTTTAAATTGTTGGCCTTATTTTAACTTAAATCAAATTTATTCTAATTTTAGTAGCAATTTGTGTTTGATAACGAGAAAGGAACCACTGTAAAATATTAATAAAATTAAACATAAATCGAAAAGTGAAATTCTTTTATTGTATAAAGAGTAGGAAGAACATACACACCTTTACGTAGCTTCTACTTGAACTGTGCAATTTTTTACTTTTACTACTAATATTAATTTAATTATAATTTAACACACGCATACACACACAGCCACACACATGTAAAGTCTTAAGAGAATCTAATTTATAAAATGAATTTGTGTAAGGATGAACAAAAGCTGCATGAAATCGATACGAAACGAGCACATCCCCAAAACGAGAAAATTCTAATTAAATGTAGCCAGCACTTTGACAAACAGAAATCAGTGAATTATTTTTAATCGTAATATTCGTACATACTATATGAATCGTTGGGGGGCCTCCCAGGAGACACTCGAACCAGCGACGAAGCCCGCTCATCGGAACTCACTACAAGTCTCGGTTATATACAATCTTAGGTACGATTCTTACGTTCAATTATTATTATTATTATTAAAAATCTACAAATAAATACATTTACGCATAACTTGTTTTGTAGTTCTACACCTAATGTAAAGAGCAAACTCTATCCTAAAACGGATTAATTTTACCATTTTACCTAATTACGAGTGGAAGATGCGAAAATACACAATATATATGAAAAAAATATGTTGAAGCAAGCGAAAGCAAAACAGCAAAAAAATCAACACAAAAAACATAAACCAAAATCCAAAGTGTTTTTATTTTACCTTATACTTTTCCTTTGAATTACCAGCTATATAATTTCCATATAGGAGTAACGACTTTTTGGGATGTGAGCAAAGACTTAGGAGCTAGAAATTCAGAATTTGAAAATATTTGCATACGAAGCAAATGGCTGTGAAATTGGCTAAGAACGAGGGAAAGTAATCGAAAATTGTGGTGGTCAGGAGGAGCGAAGCAGAGCAGTCGTGTATATCTGGTTGAAATCTAATTTATTTGCGGGAGAAAAGACGCGCTATATAATAGCATTAAAGTGTAACAGTTAAAGCCATTCATTTGCTAAACCCCAATTTTCGCCATATTTAAAAAACCATATAATTACGATTCCAGACCCAAGTTGAGTGTTGATTATAGGATATAAGCAAGCATATTAATACCCTCGATAGGCCCTCGGTAACTCTTTCCAATAAAATACATTGTCACGCCTAAGATCTGTACATACGCATATAGTATATTATTATATATAAATAAACAATATATTTAAAGCCCTCGCTCTGTAAGAATTATAAAAAAAAAGAACGCGACTTACAACAATACAAATAATGCAACCTGATGAATTACGAAAATACAAGATTGTATGGTATAAAGTAACAACCGTTTGTTGACAGATCCATTCATATAAAAGATAAAAACCAAATGAAAAAGAAAATATAAGCGGAAAAACAGAATCGTTATGTAGATTTTTGAAAATTCGAAACGCAGAGCAACTAGACTTTGTTTCATTTTTATGCACTGTTTTCTGTTATGTGTAAACTCGTAACTTGTTTTGCCCCAACAAACTAGGCCCAACTATGTAGGACCCACGACCGTGTACACAGCCTGAGACCCCTATAACTACTATAACCCTAAGACCCATACTGACACACCGCGTACAAGCATTTTGTGTTCAACTTGTAGATATTGATCCTGAATTGAAAAACTACCTCAAGCGAAACAAAAGATGATTAAGCAGATGGAGCAGATGACGAAGACGGAGACGGACGGGGGAAATGATTGACAGGTTTTGAGCATTATAATAATAAATGTAACTACAAGCGAGACCTTAGCAGCAGAGCAAGAGCAGGAACAGATGAAAACAAATATATACCTTGAACAAAGTTATTATTTCCGTTATTAGATTCGTTTACAACGCACTCTCTCCCTTTTAACTTGAAACGAAAAACACCCCCAAAAGCCTTTTTAGAGGTACCTGGTTTGCTAAAGCTACGGGCCTACGATATATACATATGTATCTATATGGGACTCTGGTAATTCTCCATTAACTAAAATCGAAGCAAGAGTCGCCTCTTTCTTTGCCTTGAGTTAGGTAGCTTAGTTTTTCTCACTGCCAAATCGAAATTGAGATCTAAATACCATACAGATTTTCTAAGTTTTCGAGCCGCCTCCATTTTTTTGAACTTAGAATAGATACGTCAAATTTCATTTGCAATGTGTAGCAATCAGTAAAAGTAAAATTAAATGGTAAAAGGAATATCTATAAAATATATACAATTATTAACAATATACGAATCCGAGTATATGTTCAAGTCCGAACCTATACGTATATGGATTGACAGCGCACACAGTTCGAGGACAAAGAACTTAGAGAGTAAAGCATTTTTCCCTGAAAACACAAAAATAAAGAATACAAAATACAAAACTGAAAATTGATGGCATTTTAGTGTTACGCGAAATGCAAGCAAATGCAGCAAAAATCGATAATCTAAAGTCTAATCAGCATACTGAAAATATTGTAAACAGAAACCATTACACACGAGATACGTAAAACCATTTGAAGAGCGAAGGAACCCTGATCCCTGCCAGAGGGAATGGTTGCCAATAAGTAGTTTTCCGAGTCCACTAGCATTATTATTTATTGTACGCTACACTGCCAGCTAATTTATTACTTCTCCATTAAGTCCAATCCGCAGGATTGAACCTAAAGCCCCAAATTTAGTTTCTTTCCCACACACTGCGCATATCCCTGAGTTGCGTTTACAGATTATGATAACGAGAGAGATGTAGAGATTGTTAGCATTTAAACTGATTAAACAATTACAAGCATATGCATACCTAATTCTAAATGTTTATTTTCCCGGAATCGACAGTGGATGAATTCACAAGGTGCATAAATATTAAATACACTTGGGATATGTATCTAGAAATAATAACTTATATGTACGAAACTGTAATCTAATTTGGAAATTTGTTCACTTAACGTTAATATTATTACTAAACACAATACAAATACAAGAAGAACAACTTTTATACTTCAAAGATTGAAGGATTGAGGGGTGAATATGGATTGAGACGATTACAAACGATTCGAAGCCGATTTTGGGTTTAACGGTCTGGCGCATCATCAACGGCAGATGCTGTTTGGGCGCAAATAATAACATTTTTGCCACTAATTTAATAATTAACAACTTTATTTAGGCATAGAATACAATTAAACTTTGCATAGTTGTACAACTAAGCTGTAAATATATACATATACATAAATCTAAAGAAAAGTATATATATACGATATATGAAGCGTGTAATAAAATAAAAATGATATATTTAAAATATGTTGCTCAATTGTGATCCTGTTTTTTAACATTTCCATGAAGAAAGAAAGCGAACTTTGGTCAGCCAAAGTTTGTATACCCTTGCAGGTAACAATTAAAATATATCATAACTAAGCCAAAAATGCATTAATTTCGATTCGGAAAGCAGTTTTGTGTTAGTTTTTATTAATTTAAAAAAACTGCTTACCAAATTTAAAATTTTAAGAAATCAAAATTTTTGGTAATTTTTGCTAATTTTAATGATGTAACCCCTTATCAAATTTCGGAAAAATGGCCAAAAAATCGATTTCTTCCGGACATGTCTAGAAAGATTCGCATGTTAATGCTGATCAAGAATATATATGGTTTATGGGGTCGGAAATGATTCCTTGACTTAGAAAAATATTATTTTGTATTATAAAATCGGATTTTTTATATTAAAAAACTTCTTGATTTTTTTTTAAATTAAAAATAACAAGAATATATTTACTTTATAGGGTCGGAAACGTCTCCTTCACTGCGTTGCAAGGGTATAAAAAACAAAATCAAAACCGGCGGTTAGTGGTGGTTGTTGGACAGAGTCAGACATCGATAAGCAGCTATCGAGTACTATCGTACTATCGTTGGTCGCTCCTAAGCGAAAAGTCTGGCAACGCACTCGCGCTTTTACGATTTTTATCTGGCAACACTGGTCACTAGCAAATAATTTCTGGTGTGCCCAGATTTTAAAATGGAAAATTTCATCTGGCAACCCTGATTCCAGCTCCTCAATTTGTTGTTTTGCCGAAAATTTAGTTGAAATAGGAAAAGGTAATTCTAAAAGTACAGAAAAACCCGCAGAATATTCACAACCATTCAGCTATTCCGCTAAAGTCGCGTCTACTAAGCTATTGATTCAACAACTTCTTTAATTATGTAAAACAGCAACAGTAAAACACTTGCAATTTTTGTTGTGTGCAAGCGGCAAGATGGCGGCTTTAAACAATACGTAAACTCAAAGAAACACATCTGAACATTGCCCCAAATACGAGAATTGTGCTTCCGCTTGACCAACTTGCATTGTTTTATGTAAAACGTCGAGTTCTTGGTACTTGTGCATCTTTTCAACTGGCCAACTTGCAGCATCTGGAAGTGAGGTTAAGTGCAAGCCGCTTTCACTTACCCTTTCACCTTACAGAAACCACCAATGGCCGATTCTGAGGACGAGTACGATCGCAAGCGGCGCGACAAGTTCCGCGGGGAGCGCAGTGACAGCTACCGGACAGAGCGCCGTGACGAGCGGCGGCCAGTGGGCGGTTCGGCGGGAGCCCGGGACGAGTGGTCGGAGCGGTAAGTGCAGGCGCTGTTCAACTATTACATGACGACAGCACTTGACGTTACAGCAATCCCTTCAGGGGCGGCGCTTCCGCAGGAGGCGGCGGCGGAGGAGCCCGTCACAGGCCCGACTACAGTGACTATCGTGGTCCGGGGCCAAGGACACGCTATGGATCCCCCGGCCGGGATTTGCCCCCTGCCAAACGAATGCGTCCGGACTGGGGCGATGGAGATGTGCGCGGTAATCCCCGGTTCGGTGGTAGGTTCAATAATACTCGTTTAGGCGAGAGAAGTACAAAGGATTGTCTTTCCCAGCAGGCTATGATCCCTATCTGATGCAGGCCTGGAACGATCACTACCAGTCGATACACTCGGCATACTCCCATGCCGGTCACGTGCCACCGGCGAGGGAGCCCATTAGCAGCGGCGGGGATACGCTAACCCAGCCTGCAATGCTCACCCTGAAGCAGTTCCTGGACACGCAGGATGAGAACATTTCCGACTCGGAGGTCATGCGCAAGTACACCGAGTACAAGACGGACTTCAAGCGCCAACAGTTGAACGAGTTTTTCGTGGCCCATAAGGACGAGGAATGGTTAGTAGCTGGCCAACCGGTGAGCCTCCGATGCGAAGCAGTGCACCCTCTTCGATCTCGTTGATATCTCAGCCTGAGCAACTTGGCTCCCTTGCGTGGTTCCCCATTTGCCTTGCCATTTGCCTGCTCGGAACTCATAACTTTCTGTATATTAAGTTTTTCTCTGCAGCTTATTGGGTTTGTGAGACAGAGACAGAGACTTCTCTGGAAGCGACTGCACGGTCTCGCAGAGCTGCTAACTGATATCCACTAAATTAATATTGTTAATTACCCGGCGAGCAATGCCGAGGTGTGTTCACATTTTTAAACCGCGATTTATTTCAATTCGATATTCGTTGGTCGAGCAAAAGCCCAAAATAACCATAAAACAATCCCATAAATAACGAAAGCGCAAAGCTTGAAAGGTAAGACTTTGGGTGATAATTGAGAAACAACCAATCCTATCTAAGATTATAAAACCACTGAAAAATAACCAATCTTACTATCGACAGCCGGGCGACAGATGCGAAAAAGTACACAAAATGTTCACCCAAAAAACCACTAAAAATGTGGAGAAAACTAATTTTGTAAGATTGTTAATCGTGTATTTTACTTGTATTATTTACCTCCAGGTTCAAAAACAAATACCACCCAGAGGACAGTGTCAAACGTAGCGAAGAGCAGCGTGGTTTCCTAAAGGTAAGATATTTCCATTTCCTCAATTTGATATCCATTTTAAATTCACATTATTTCCAGAGACGTACTGATGTCTTCGTGGAGCTACTCAATAACGGTTCTATTGACGCCGTCAAAGTGGACTCCTCCCAGGCCGATGCCCTCATTCGTGTGCTGGACACTTGTGTCATCAAGCTAGAGGGCGGAACCGATGAGGACCTCAAGGTGCTTGACGAGAAGCCCAAAGAGCCGCCAGTCTACGAACGAAAACTGGATGCTGCTGACTCGGCCAAGGTGACTGATGACCAGAGCAAGAGTCCCAAAAAAGAGAAGGATGATTCTTTGCCGCTGGTGGTTTCGCCACAACGGAAAATCATCAAGCCCGCCAACTCCGACGAGGAGAACTGGGATGACGAGGATGCCAAGGAGAAGCAGGAGGAACCAAAAGCTATCGATTCTAGCGCGGAGGGCAAGCAGTCAAAAAAGAAAACAAAGAAGCGCAAGAGAACCAGCAGCGATGATAACAGCTCCTCATCTGACCAGGACTCCAGCTCCAGCTCGGAGGATGAGGATGAGGCCAAGCTAAAGGCAAAGTACGATGTGGAGGATGGACTCAGGAGCGAACAAAAGGCTGAGGCTGAGAAAGACAGAGAGGAAGCGGCCAAGGCAAAGGAGGCACCGAAAAGGCCCAGCGAAACGGAGACAGAAGAGAAAGCAGATTCTGAACCACAAGAAGCAACCACCGAAGACAAAGATGGCAAGCCAGTTAGCTCTCCGCAGGCAGATCCTGCCGAGCAAATGGAGACAGAAAATGGTGGGTCAAGCCAAGCTGAGAACAGCGGAGAAAAATCTGCTGCCGAAGAAAAACAATTGGAGGAAAGCGAACCCATTGACGTGGACAAGTTAAAAGATGGCCAGCCACGTGCCCTGCATCGCACCTCCTCAATTTTTCTGCGTAACCTGGCACCTTCCATAACCAGGGCCGAAATCGAAGGCATTTGCACTCGTTTTAGTGGCTATTTGAGGGTGGCTATTGCCGATCCCCTGGTGGAGCGCCGTTGGTATCGCCGCGGCTGGATTACGTTTATCCGGGACGTAAACATAAAAGAGATTTGCTGGAGCCTAAACAATCAACGTCTGCGGGATTGCGAAATGGGGGCCATTGTCAATCGGGATCTTAGTCGCCGCGTGCGCCCAGCCAACGGAATCACAGCACACAAACAGGTTGTGCGATCGGACATCAAACTGTGCGCCAAGATCGCCATGAATCTGGATGACAGGTTCAAGCTGTGGACAGAGTCGAGCCCCGACGGGGCTGCCACCAGCGAATCGTCAGCTAATGGAAGCAGCTCCACCTACGGCTTCAACTCTAAGAATCCGGTGCTGCAAAATATCACCGACTACCTCATTGAAGAGGCTTCCGCCGAGGAGGATGAGCTCCTTGGCCTGACTGGCGACAAAAAGGACAACGAGGGCGAGCCCATCGAACGCGATGAGCAGCTGCTGGCCGTGTTGGATCGACTGGTTCTCTATCTGCGCATCGTTCATTCCGTTGACTATTATAACCACTGCGAGTATCCGTACGAGGACGAGATGCCAAATCGCTGTGGCATTATCCATGCCCGCGGTCCTGCTCCCATACGTGTCACAAATAATGACGTACAGGAATACATCAAGACGTACGAAGGAAAGCTGCAGCAGTTCCTTACAAAAACTGCTTTGCTTGGCGACGAAGAGATCAAGGACTTGGGCTCAAAGGATGCCGAGACCGAGGTGGAAAAGTTCGTGCAGGCCAATACGCAGGAGCTGGCCAAGGACAAGTGGCTATGTCCGCTGTCGGGCAAGAAGTTCAAGGGTCCCGAGTTTATTCGCAAGCACATCTTCAACAAGCACGAGGAAAAGGTGGACGAAGTGCGCAAGGAGGTGCAGTACTTTAACAATTACCTGCGGGATCCAAAGCGACCGCAGCTGCCGGAACATCCTGGCAGCTCCAAGCGCCCTGAAGCGGAGTCTGGTCGTGGAGTGGGTGGAGGGTGAGTGTAGCCTCTAAATAACCTCTTATATCTTTTTTTAATCTATTTTTTTACTATTTTTAAAGCTACCGCCAGCCCATGTATCCGCCGTTCTCGGCCATGCCGTATGGATTTGGACCGCCCATGATGGGCGGAGGCCGTGGAGGACGCAACTTCCCACCAGCGCGCAGGTTAGTATCCCATTCATTGTGCCTTCTTCCATCTGTAGTGTAGTGTGCCTTCTTCCCCACCATAAATGTATTGATGCAATTGTGGCTGTGTCTTAGTACGGTTTAATAATAGCATCCAGTCCACACATTTCCCTTCCTTGCCTTATGGCAAGCGTCTCACAGGTACATAGGTACATGAACACCCATTTAAGCCATCATAATCTTCGCGGCGGACTGGGACAACAGTAAAACCTAGTCTGACCAGCCTCACCACCCCCACCCACGAACGACAGACAGCATTTGCCTTAGACAGGTTGTAACCCTTCTCTACCCCCCTTTTTGTACTTTGATTTTTTCCCCCCTCATTTTGTTGGTCTAAATCGAAATTTGTCACAACTTTCTTGTGTCGCAAATTTTTTGCAGAGAATTGCCTTTGGAACACCAGCGCCGGCTTATCGGTTACCATGATTTGGATGCGCCTGCCAATTCCGATATGTTTGACTAATTGATTAGCACAAATACAAATGCAATCCAAAAAAAAAGAGAGAAACCCACTTTAACGTTTGGCGAGCTCAAGTTTTAAACGCAATTCAAGCAATGCTAATGCTAGGAAGAGTATCAACTGCATATAAAAGAGGTTTATATACATGCGACTACCGATACCCCGATACCGTACCCGTACCGTTTTCATGTACAATATTATGCCAATTGTATTAAGTAACCGACAAAGTAACGTTGCCAATTTTTATTTGCCCGAAATAAATGCGAGTCCGTCTTGTATCCTGTGTGTCTTTTCCCTAATGGCGTGCTTTACTCCACCAACAAATAAAATCTAAAGTCTACATTCATTCTCGTTGCTTACAGACCCGGTGGTTTTGATTATCGACCCAGATCACACTACCGGGACTTGGACGCGCCGCAAGAGCCGTACTAGAGTACATAGTCGTGCGCAGATTGAAAACTAAATGAAAACTAAATTGTATATCACATCGCTAATCACTAAATTAATAACCACTCTAAGTTATTTCAATTGACGCCTGTTTTGTACGGTATATGTACCTTTGTATCTCACGGAAGAATGCCACAAATAAAGAGCGATCCAAAGTAGTTTATTTCGTAAACAGAGAGCTCCTGGGTTCTGAGAGAGAGAGATTAATATCATCGCTCTTCTGGGTTGAAAGAGAGAGTGTTTAGTGTTTGGAGAAACTGTCTAAAAATAAGTTCGCCGCCTTTTGAAATCCTAAATAAAAATCAGTCTAAAAGAAAACCTCCACACGTAACGTCGCGGAAAAGTATATAAATGGGGTCGAGCACGCTGAGTTTGAACTGTCCCGTGTGCGGAGTGGCTGCTTCGCAGGCCTGTACCCGCTGCAAGCTGGTGCGCTACTGCGATCGGGAGCACCAAAAGCAGCACTGGCCGCAGCACAAGCGCTGCTGCCGGCCTTTCCGCGAGGAGCAAGACCCCCAGCTGGGCCGGTATTTGGTGGCCACTCAGGATATTGCTGCCAATCAAATCATTTTCGTAGAGCCACCCCTGGTAGTGGGGCCCAAGTGGTATCTCTCGGAGGCGGAAAAGGAGGCCCCCATTGTTCCATGTGTGGGTTGCTATACGCCTTGCCGCGTGGGAAAGCACCAGTGTCGCAGGTGAGTCAAGCGGTTACCAATGGCTTCCATTAAAAGGTCCGTTCACTTGCCAGCTGCCATTGGCCAGTCTGCAGCCCTGCCTGCACCCACGAGGCCCTAGAATGCAGTGTGCTTAGCCTGGGGCCGGCTCCCGCTGGCCGGGCCGATGCCCGCTCCCTGAACGACTACTTCAGGGGCGATGCTCTGCTGGTGTTGAAGTGCCTGCTTCTGCAGCGCCAGAATCCGGAGAAATGGGCGGCCCTGCTGGAAATGCAGTCGCACGAAGAGGAGCGCCAAGGCACCGAACTTCACGAGGAGGCGGAGAAGCGGGTAGTTAGTTACCTGGATAAGCGATTCTTGCGTCGCCTTAGACAGACCAAGCCCAATCTTCTGGAGGAAAGCGGCACACAGCTGCTGCATAGGCTGTGTGGCATCATTGAGACCAACTACATGGTAATCGAGCTTCCAACAGGAGTTGAGCTCAGTGGACTCTTTAGGCAGGCCTGCATGATGGAGCACGCCTGCCAGCCCAATTGCTACTTTCAGTTTGACACCATCTCCCAGCAAATCGCTGTACGGGCGGGTGGCAACCTCCGGAAGGGAGATCACCTGCAGATTACCTACACCAACATTTTGTGGGGCACTCAGATGCGGCAGCATCACCTGCGCATGACCAAGCACTTCACCTGCCACTGCCCGCGCTGTACAGATCCCACGGAGTACGGGAGCTATGTCAGCGCTCTGGCCTGCCTGGGAGATGTGAACCAGACGTGTAGTGGCACACATCTGCCGGTGGATCCGGTGGAAGAGGACACCCAGTGGAAGTGCAATACTTGCCCCATGATCGTAGATGCTGCCTATGTGTCCGAGTTACAGACTCACATGACGGATCAGGTGGAGGGCATGCTGGCCGGGTGCCCTCGCGCCAACGAGGTGGAACTGTTGTTGGCGCGGCTCTCCCAGATGCTCCATCCCAACCACTTTCACATGTTCAATTTGAAGCACACGCTGATTCAGTTATACGGCAATGAAGCGGGCTTGGAGCTGGCCAGTCTCAGCAGCGGGCAGCTGGAAAGAAAGCTGCGCCTATGCAATGAACTCTACGATGTTTGTAGGCGCCTGGATCCCTACAGTATCAAGCTGGCCATCTATGTAACTGTCATTCTGATTGAAATTGCCCACGCGCTGGAAGAGCAAGCACGTAGAGCTCCCGCCGAGGGAGCTTCACTTCTGGAGCAAGCTCAGGCCCGCCTCAAGGAGGCACAAGAGGTAATGGTAAAGGAGCACGACTCGGTGGCTGGCAAAAAGTTGAGTGACAAGCTGCAGAGGGAGATCTTTGATTGCGAAAAACTAGTGCTGACACTGGCATACAACAAGTAACTTGGACTATTTGGAGTAGGAAGTGATCTAAAAGGATATTGTAAATGTTAAAAAATAAATATTTAAAGAAAATATTGAGGGTCGTAACAATTTCTTACAAATTTCTAAGCTTTTTTATTTACAAATCTTAAAGGAACTCTCTCACGCATGCAACTCCACTCGTTCCTGCCTTAAAAGCTCTGGGTGCTCTCTTAAAATATCCCTCTGTTGTCGCAGATTCTTCATGATTCCAGGCAAGTGCCAGCCGTGTCTCAGCAAGCTATCCCTGACATCAAAGTGGGCATGACGGACGCAACGCAGCTGAGAGCAGTGTGCCACTGTGCGCAGTTCCAGGGCCATGTCATGCACCAGGGCGGCCAGGTACTCCTGCGTCTCGTTGATGCCATGGAGTTCCAGAGTAAAGTAAGGTCCTTCCAAGCGTATCAGTTTGATGCCGTAGATAACGGGCTGACTGTCGTCCGATGGACGTATAAGGCCCTTGCAGGCCAGTTCATAGGCCTCCTGGGTCTGCAGGTCAACGCCACATAGCTCAAACATCTTTCGCTGATGCGATGCCTGCATGGAGGCGGCCAGGCCACTGATCCTGTCTGCAGATACATGCCTGTAGTTGGAACGCACAGTGACGTGCGAGTCTGGCAGGTGGTTCTCTGTGGCGGTGCCCATGCAGCCGGTGATGTGGTAAACTCGCACCAGCTGGTTCTTCCGAAGGCAACCGGACTGTCCTATTCCTTTGTTGATCCCGAAGACTGTAATGTGTGCGCTAGTTATGAATATTTCTTGAATTAGAAGAACATGCCGCGGACTCACGCAAGACCCCGCTGGTGTGATCGCCCAGACTAGAAACCGTGGCGCAGCGTATGTCCCTTGGCAGGTAGCGCGGGCCAACAGACAGGATGTTGTCCGAGAGATCCTCATTGTTAGCTATGTTGTGGAGTACGCTGTCAGCGGCTGTGCCAGTGCCCAGGAGCGGTGTGTCTTTTGGCAGCTTCCTAAGCTCGCGCTGCTTCATTTCGTTGAGTCCTGGGAGAACAGAAGTCATTAAAAGGAATACACTTCCAAGGAAACTCTTTCTTACCTTTGCAAATGTTGCTAAGGATGGCATTGCGCACGTGCTTGGCTTTCATGCCGGCCGGTTTGTACACATTTAAAATGCCGTTTAGGTGTTTAAACACTGTGACGGCATCGTAGACTTTTGTAAGAGCCATTTATGCTTAAAAATTACATAAATTAATAGTTTTGTTTTTAAATTAAGGTGCAGTGTTGGTAAATACGCAAGAACAGCTGAGCGCAAGGGATTCCAGCCCTGGTCGAAATTCTAGAGTCTTGGTTATTTAAGCTATTTGTACAAAAAGAAGCAATAAGAAGATTTTATAATATAATAAAAACCTTAAATTTATTATCAGTCTTTACATAAACCTTTGCTTTTAATGAAATCTATAAACAAAACATATTTAAAGTTAGGCAGTTTTTGGTTTATCTTTGAGTTTGCAAGCTGGTCACACTAACCGGGCTGCACGTGTAAAGTTTGTTTTTTCTGGACTCCGTGGGAAATTGCTTAATTTACTGAAAATTAGCCCAGAAAAAACACGATGAAGTGGACTACGGCGAATGTCAAGCACCCCAACTATACCGCGAAACATGAACTCTTCGTGGGAACACACACGGGCTCCTTCAAACGTAAGACTGCCTGTTGCGCGCCAACATCAGTGCACTTACAATGCATCTTTGAACTCTTTACAGACTTGTTGCCTGCTTCGGAAGACTCGCCCCATGGGCAACGCAACCTTAGCGACCTGAGTGCCCTGGACAAGGAATCTCGCGTTACCTCCATGGCCTTTGGCGACGAGGCTCAGACGGAGATCCTGCTAGGTCGAGCCAAAAACACTGCCGAACTGCATGCCTTGGCGGACGCTAGCGGTTCCAAGAAAACCGTCAGCTTCAAGGCAGCCCCCATCGTGGGTCTGGCCCGTTTCAATGACAAACTGATTGCCGGCATTGGCAATGGAGAGATACAAAGCCTGGAGCTGGGGTCTGATGAGGCTGCCGAGCCTGTGGTCATCAGTACGGGCACTCAGATGGATCATCTGCGTCAGTGCTTACAGTCAAGGAACATTGTGGCCACCGGTGGCAAGGAGCGACAGAATAACCTAAAGGTCTACGATCTGAGTTCAGACGGAAAACAGATCTTCACCTCCAAGAACTTGCCCAATGACTATCTGCAACTGGAGGTGCCAGTCTGGGACAGCGATGTCGGCTTCGTGGACGGCCCCAGTGTGCTGGCCACCTGCTCGCGAACAGGGTACGTTCGCCTCTACGATACGCGCAAGCAGCGCCGGCCGGTGGCTTGCTTTGCCAGCGAAGAGCACGGTATGAGCTTTGCGGCTCTGGTGGCCCGAGGTAACTACATCTACACGGGCACCACCATGGGTGCATTGAAGGCCTTTGACACTCGGCGCATGAAAACTCATGTGCACACCTACAAGGGATTTACCGGCGGCATCAGCGATCTTCATTTGGATGCCACCGGGCGGTACTTGAGCTCGGCTAGCTTGGATCGCTACGTGCGAATCCATGATGCTGATTCGACTGTTCTGCTCTACCAGTGCTATGTCAAGTCTAAGGTCACCAAGGTGCTCATACGGCAGGTGGAGGACGAGAAACTCGACGAAGCGGAGACTACGGCGGAAGAGATATCCCAACCTAAGAAGGATAAGATAATCAAGGCAACGCCATTGGACGATGAATACGAGGATATGTTTGACCAGATGCCCACTGTGGGGTGAGTATTTTGAACACCAAAGCTAGGACACAGTAAACTAATGAATAACCTTGCTCCATTTAGTGACAGTGACAGCGACAGTGCAGCCGATAGTGACGACGATGCCGAAGCGGAAGAGGAGGCGCCCAAAAAGTCGAAAAAGACTAAGCAGAAGCGAAAGGCCCCCAACACATCTCTGAAAACTAAAAAGAAAAAGTTGTGAACATCATTTATTAACGTGTTGATAAGTTCCATAGCTTAACGAAAAGTTTTAAATATAAGATTATAGATAAAAAATTATGGATAAAAGTGATATCTACTGCCACGCCTTCCTTGGCAGCTGGGCCTTTTGGAGCTGGTAGTTGATGTAGAAGCGGTAGGTGCAATAATAGAAGAACTCCACCACGGAGATCATGCTAAGGCCTAGACAGAGATTGAAAATGCCACCCAGATCCGCTGAAATTGAAGGGAATTGTTAGAGCTTGGTAAGTATTATAATATATATATGTATAGTCACTAACATAATAGACCAATCCAAGACATCACGGTCACTTTTCGAATCACTGGAACTACTTGCTTTGCTAGGTAGACCCTAAGTACAAAGCTATCGCTGTTCAGCAGCTCAGGAGAGCTATTGCAGGGGGTAGAGTTAAGTTAAGTAGAGTTTTTAAGATAATATTTAATATAGTTTAGCCAAAGACCTATAATATAAAGATGCATAACTTCCATGCCAACACCAAATTCACAAATTTCCAGAGAACCTGGACAGCACGAAAAATTCAAGTTACTTATCTTGCTATTAAAAGGTCTTTGCATTGGCAATTACTCACTAGTAGCGGCTCACAGAGAACTGGTGTTGGTTGAGGTCCGTTTTGTAGGAGAGAGTCGAATACGTGACATCGTAGCAGTTGGGCAGACACTGGTCGCAGCGCACGCTTTTAAAGTTGTCTGCAAGAGGCAAAGAAAAAGGAGAAGGATTTATATTTGCATATTCATGCAGAACGATATGCTCTTAAAGCAGTTTCCTAGCGATTTGCAGAAGTGTTCAAGCCACAGAATATCAAGCAGAGTCCTGTGCACGTGAGTATCCTGAATATTTAATATAAATTATGAAACATGAGCAAGCACAACCGACGACAGCAGGGATGACGATGGCGTAAAAGCTACATATACAAGAAACCACAGTCACCGCAGGAGCAGGAGCAGAAATATGGAAAACTCGGCTTGGTAGACTTGGTGAAGCTGCCGGCGGAGAGGGTTCGTAACCCTGTCAGCCATTCAATATGATGTGCGTGGGCGACGTGAGCGACCTTGCCAGCCAAGAAAGTGAGGAATCTGTAAGAGAATTTTCACTTTCGGGCCCACCCACCGTAGTTGGCTGAGTAGCAGAAGGTGTCGTTCAAGTTGCACTCCTTGAACTTGTTACCCACGATGGGCAGGAGGTACGGGTGGCAGCCGCACTTCTGCACAATGGCCTCGGTCTGGCAGGCGAGGAGGCAGGCCGCCTGCCTATAGTTTCGTAGGCGCAGGTCATCCGAAATGAGGCAGTCACGCTTCCGCTCCGACAACTCCAGGACCTCGACCGAGGAGCTCTGCACAGTGGGAGACACTTCCACGAAGCTCTCCGATCGCGCAGTGATGGTCACCGAGGCAGCCGACTCCGTTACATAGTCCATGGGGTGATGCACCAGGACGATGAGCCCAGTGTTGAGGTTGCGTTCGCTGCCCTCCGCCCCCACAAATGTCAGACCCCCATCCATGCCAAATATGTTGGCTGAGAACGGCACGAAGCTGGCGTTGCGAGGATTGTAGTTGAAGGAGCAGCAGGGACCCAGGTAAGCCGTCGTGGGAATAAACGAGAGGTACTCGTGACTCTGGTTGCACTGAAACTCCGTGTGGCCCCAGAAGCAGCGCTTGACGTAGTCGGAGCAGCCGGGACTGACGGCCATGGCTGCCTCCCAGGTGGTTACATTATTCAGCCGCAGCACGGCATCCGTAGCCCTGAAGCTTTCGTGACTAGGAGGCTCAAAGCTCTGGTCCGTGAAGGCGTTGAGGAACTCGAATCCAGCAGCCACCTCAGCGATGTCGTACTCCTTGGGAATCTTGCTGAGAAACAAAAGCAACAGTTAGTTGAAGTGGCATGGGGGAGACGACTCCGGCTCACAGTGTCTTCACGTAGCGATCCACTCGTTCTGAGTTCACCACCTTGGGACTGCAGATGGTCACGCCCGGAAAGGCCACATCCGTGATGGAGAGATCGTTGGAGATGGTGTTGAGGATGGGGTACGAGTAAAACTTCAGCCAGAGCAGCAGGGTGAGGTAGATGCTCAGTAGGAGCAACTGCAGCAGCACCGAGGACCAAATGAACCTGGAGACGCCGTAAGTGCGGTTCCGACGCAGCAGCCACATGCCGCTCACCTTGGTTCGCTCGGTGTACTCCCAGAAAGTGGCCAGAATGGCCCCTATCATGGAATTCGGCTCCCTTTTTCGATTCCCTCCGTTGCCGCCGGAGTTCCTTTTGCCAGGTGGTGACCACTTTCCCGTGTCTATCATTTTGTACTATGTGCCAGCCGTTTGCGGCTCAGGCTTTTTAAGGCCACGATTGTGTCCCCGCCTAATGGCTTCAAGTTGTGTGTTAAATTATACTTTGATTGAGTTCCAACTTTGTGTGGCCAAAGCAAAGTCTGTCACTTGTTGAGGGCATTAGTGTTAATTTGGTAGCCAGGATAGACGATGTATAATTAACTGGTAAACTTTATTCGATGGAGACATATAAAGCTATTAGATCTGAAATTACTCTTAATTTATTGTGAACTTTCGCTGCACACAGACATAACTTGGCGACTTAACTTGCTGCTATTCAGAGGCATCTCGTAAAAAATAAGCAACCGTTTTCACTTTGTTATTCTTGCCTTGGCTACACCAACTTTAATGGCTCCTTTTCTTAGTGGAGCTGAAAAAAATGTTAAAGTTATAGATAAATATACAAACGTCTTATTCCTGCTGACATTTTAAGAGTTTTTCGAGCGATGTTCAACTGTTGAGCCAGGAAAATCCTGAGACTTGACTCCATTCTGTGGTCGCTACGATACCAAACTGCTGAAGCTAGTAGAAGATTGCGGCCCATTGCCCTTGGCCAATGAAACATGCAAATTAGATACGGAAAAGACAAGCAAAACTGTACCGTTTCCTTACTGCTGCCCGAACTTTACTTGCCACCAGGGAGTTCAGCTGGAATATCCGGATTTCCCAAAGGACAATGGAAATAAAGATGAAGTTTAATAGTTTAATATAACCATAAAAACAATTGGCATTAGAAGCCCTCATTGGACGACTACTGTCGTATCGCATAGAATGCAAACGTCCTCGAAAACTAACTCTATTCAGGGTATCTTTATAGTAACACTTAAATCGTTTCAAATTTAAATAATTAAATTATTTAACTGTGAATTTTGATTTAAATAAAAACAAGAAAGAAAGCTAAGTTTGGCCAGCCAAAGTTTGTATACCCTTGCAGGTAACAATTAAAATATATCATAACTAAGCCAAAAATGCATTAATTTCGATTCGGAAAGCAGTTTTGTGTTAGTTTTTATTAATTAAAAAAAACTGCATACCAAATTTAAAATTTTAAGAAATCAACATTTTTGGTCATTTTTGCGAATTTTAATGATGTAACCCCTTATCAAATTTCGCAAAATTGGCCAAAAAATCGATTTCTTCCTGACATGTCTAGAAAGATTCCCCTGTTGATGCTGATCAAGAATATATATGGTTTATGGGGTCGGAAATGATTCCTTGACTTAGAAAAATATTATTTTGTATTATAAAATGATTATTTTGAAAGCAAAATCTAAAATTTAAAATTTTTTTCTGCATTTAAAATTTTTTTTTTCGAATTTTTTAAAATTTTTAAAATTTTTTAATTTTTTTTCTGAATTTTTAACATTTTTTTCAGATTTTTTTATTTTTAGAAGGGATTTTTTGTTGAATTTTAAATTATTTTAAATATTTTAACTGCCAAATTTGAATTTGAATTTAACTGCCAAATTTGAATTTGAATTTAACGACGATCAGTTTCAGTGTGCCCAGGTGCAGTTGTAAAATAACACCTAAATTTGGATTCAAAAGGTTTGAGTCTCCGCTAACTCGCGCCGGCTCAGTTTCAGTGTGCCCAGGTGCAGTTTTAAAATAACACCTAAATTTGGATTCAAAAGGTTTGAGTATCCGCTTACTTGCTCAGGCTGCTAAATGGTTTGAAACTTGGACTTTTTATAACAGTTTATACCAGTTTTCAGTTGCTTGCTGCTGGTTTCTGTTCGCCTGTTACCCCAATTTGGGAAACGGGCAATTTGCATGGAAATGTTCGGAAATTTGGATTGGATGGATGGTCTGCTGTAGGGATGTTGTTGTAAAAAGGTTGTTGTTGCCATAAGCTGTTGTTGTCGGCAACAAATAGGTATAAATGCATAAAATGAAATATAATAGTTTATACCAATTATTATTTTTGCCCAAAAGTTTTTATAACAGTTTATACCAGTTTTCAGTTGCTTGCTGCTGGTTTCTGTTCGCCTGTTACCCCAGTTTGGAAAGCGGCCAAATCGAATGAAAAAATTTGCTCACTCGCATCAGTGATGCTCACTCGCATCAGTGATGCTCACTCGCATCAGTGATGCTCACTCGCATCAGTGATGCTCATCTCCATCAGTGATGCTCATCTAGCTATATTGCAATATTGGGAGGCTATAAAATCGGGCTTAATGGCAGTGATGCTCATCTGGCTATATTGCAATATTGGGAGGCTATAAAATCAGACTTTGCATCAGTGATGCTCATGTAGCTATTTTGCAATATTGGGAGGCAATATATCAGGCTTAATGGATGTGATGCTCATCTAGCTATATTTCTTTATTGGGACAAAAAGGCATCTCACTAACTGCCAGTGATGCTCAACTAGCTATTTTGCATTATTGGGACAAAAAGGCATCTCACTAACTGCCAGTGATGCTCATCTAGCTATTTTGCGTTATTGGGACAAAAAGGCATCTCACTAACTGCCAGTGATGCTCATCTAGCTATTTTGCATTATTGGGACAAAAAGGCATCTCACTAACTGCCAGTGATGCTCATCTAGCTATTTTGCATTATTGGGACAAAAAGGCATCTCACTAACTGCCAGTGATGCTCATCTAGCTATTTTGCATTATTGGGACAAAAAGGCATCTCACTAACTGCCAGTGATGCTCATCTAGCTATTTTGCATTATTGGGACAAAATGGCATCTCACTAACTGCCAGTGATGCTCATCTAGCTATTTTGCATTATTGGGACAAAATGGAATCTCACTAACTGCCAGTGATGCTCATCTAGCTATTTTGCATTATTGGGACAAAATGGAATCTCACTAACTGCCAGTGATGCTCATCTAGCTATTTTGCATTATTGGGACAAAATGGAATCTCACTAACTGCCAGTGATGCTCATCTAGCTATTTTGCATTATTGGGACAAAAAGGCATCTCACTAACTGCCAGTGATGCTCATCTAGCTATTTTGCATTATTGGGACAAAATGGCATCTCACTAACTGTCAGTGATGCTCATCTAGCTATATTGCATTAATTGGGCAAAATGCCATCTCACTAACTGTCAGTGAAGCGCATCTAGATTTTAGGTTTATTATTTATTTCAGCTTTAAATAAATAAAAGAAGAAAAGGTGAGACATGTGGGAATGTCGGAGGTCCTTCCCAGTGGTTTCGGCTCGGTCTTCGTGGCACTTGGTCCACTTCTGCTCCTCCTCGTCCTGATCCTCCTTGCCAACGCTCTCTGTCTCGCCTTCGGCACCCGCTTTCAGTTCCTGGCAGCTTGCTGCAATTAAATTTAAAAAAATGGTGCGATTTATTTTGATAATTTTTCAGAAACAAAACTAATTTCAGGTTCATAACGCAGCCAAAAGTGAATGAAATTCAATTCGAATAATATCAATTATTTAACCAGAATGGCTCGATTCTTAGTGATCCAATTGCAATCTGCAAAGGTATACAAACTTCGGCGTTAGCTTCCTTTCTTGCTTATATTAAAAAACTTCTTGATTTTTTTTTAAATTAAAAATATCATAACTCGGCCAAAAGAGCATTAATTTTAAATCGGAAAACTGTTCTGCGCTAGATTTTTTACAATTAATAAATCTGCATACTTCATTAAAAAATTTTGAAAATTCAATTTTTTATCAAAATCAAAAATTTTAATGATGTAACCCCTTATAAAATTTCGCAAAATTGGCCAAAAAATCGATTTCTTCCTGACATATCTAGAAAGATTCCCCTGTTGATGCTGATCAAGAATATATATACTTTATAGGGTCGGAAACGTCTCCTTCAATGCGTTGCAAACTTCTGACTGAAATTATAATACCCTGCAAGGGTATAAAAACTAAACTAAAACAGTCCACTTTATGTTTCGTTTTGTGCTCTTGTTGCTTGGAACCCGGGAATTGATGAATTTGTACTGAAAATTTCAAGATTGAAGCTTTGTTTTGGAGCTCGAGAAGGTATGCAATGCTTTAGGAGTTTCCTCTTTAATTTCTAATCCGAAGCAAACTATTGAGAGTGCGGTGTGGGTGAAGTAGTAAGAGCCATCTTCAACTCCACCAATTTAATGGCTAAAACACGTCCTCAGTGACATTATTTTGCCTAACATACTCCAGTTAGGGCACTCTCACACGTTGAGCTTCTGCTCTCCGGAGACCAAAAACACGCTCGTGTATCCTTTCAAGTGTCGCCTTCCTCACTGCAGGAACTTTGCCGCTTGAGCGTGAGTCCGGAAAGACCATGTTTGCCAGCACATCCTCCTGCTCCTCGAGGCGGAAGTTTTAGGGTGTTGAAATCTCCCTGCATTTGGCTTCTAAGCCGAGACAATAAAATGCCAAACTTGTGCTGGCCCAGCACCCAGCAAAAGGCTTTTGAATCGGGAGTCGTAGATGGGAAAGTAAATGCGAATTTAAAGGAATTCCGCCCAGGGATGGATGGAGGGAGAAGAGGAGAAACCAATTCTGTTCACTCGACGGCGGTCCTCAACTCCATCGTCCTTAGATCCATTGTTGTCACTGCTCAACAGCTCTGAGTGAATTTTAATTAGTCACGAGCTGGCAGTGCGAATGCAAGGGCACGGCTTGCAGTCGATAATTCTGCCGGCTAATTAAAGCAAATGAGCTTTGGCCATTACCGGCTGAATGCCTCCAGCTGAAAATTTAAGATGAACTAGAAAAGCGGGAAACTTTTAATTCTTCTTTTCAACTAAAAGTCGGGCAGGTTAATGCCAAGATACCAGGCAACCAAACTTCGGAGCGGTTTTTATCGCCAGCACGCGCTCCCGATTCGTGGCAGCCGTAAAGGTAGCCCGAAAGATAAGGCAGCCTCCTGCCTCCGTCCTGAGCACACACACCCCTCCTCACCCACACACCCCAAAAGTGGTTATGCCGAATTGCCTTCAAATAATGTGCCGCAATTTTGGGAAATTTGCTAAGCGTGCCGCAAACATACATAGCTGCCGCTG